TTTTACCTGTGTCAGAGGTCTCATGGGTGGTATTTGTTGTGGTTCCAATTTCACAGGAGCAAGCTTCCTCAGTGATTGCAGCTGCTGTTGCTGCTGACTATGCTGGTCAGTAGTGACTCGTGGCTCCAATTTGACAGCCCCACCAACACCAGCCAATCCTTGTTGGGTGTTGAGGGGAGCAGAGAACTGTTGCATTGCTTGTTGACCATGTTGGAAATGTTGTGAATTGAATTGTTGGGGATGCTGCTGATCCGGTAACATATGATTACCAGAAAGGTTTGAAAATTGTTGACCTTGAATTTGACCAGTCAAACCAGGGTTTTCCACGTTTGATGGAACAAACGATGATGAGGGAGCATTAAACCCCATCCCATTACCTACATTTGAAAGTGGATCAGATTCAGCGCCAGAGTCAACTCCTGCACGCTGGCCACTACCAGGACCAGAAATCTGAGGGTTTGGAACCCTATTTCCAATAGACTGACTAAGAAGGGAAGACACATTTGGCACATTGCCAAGCATGTTCACGTTGCTAAACTGAGTGCGAGGTGACACTAGTGAAGAGTAACCATTTTGAGAAGGTAGACCACCACCTTGGGCACCTAGCATCCCAGAATTTGACCGCAAAAGAGAAGGCGTAGGAGACTGTGAACTACCTATAGGAGTAGAAGACCCTGATGGTACCATATTTCAAAATCACTATCTAACACTTACTCATAGAATTGCAACTGCAACCACCATCCAAAACAACATGAATATTAAATAAACTACAGTTACAGAGAAAAGCACAAATATTCAACCATAGAGCTCAAGGCAATCAGCAGTTTATCCCCTACTTGGCTGCTTTCTTTTAGCTTCATACTCCTCATTGTGCCCAACTAAGAAAGGGTAAGTTTTTTGCCTAAACACATAGCTTTGAAAACCAAAGCCAAGGAAGGAGCTCTGATTTGAAATGCCTTCAAAGCAGCAAGCAGACGACTTTTGCATGAATCCCTATATATTTAAAAAGGAAAACCAGAATTTTCAGACCCACTGAAACATAATCATTATAAATATTTTAAAAGCACGAAAAGAAATAAAACTTTCAGCAAAGAACTTTACACTTCAACTCCAATCAAATCCTAAAAGCAATACTCACAAAAGCTCATTAATTCAACAAACCGTTAGTTAAAATTAAAGAAAACTCACCAAACTCCTCAATTTGTTAACCTTTAGAATAACTCATAATTTGCAATTTTACAATACTAAACAAAACTAATACTAAGCAAACGAATACTGGAAAAAAATACAAAACGATCTCGATCAAACCTTAACACCACACAAATCATTGATCCAAAACTTTGAACGAGTAAAACGAAAAATGGGTATTAAAGTAAACAAGAAAATAACATAAGGGTGAAAACTAAAGAAGACTTCAAGAGGACTTACTGAAGTTTAAAAAATTCCAACAGTTACATAGTCAAAGGAAACAACAGATAAAGGGAGTTGCTCAAATCTACAAAGCCTTGATTCCAATCAAAACACAAGCCCAAATAATAACAAAATCTTTGAACTCCCATTCTCTTCAATTCTTCTAGTTTTTTGCTTCAGTAAACAGGACCAATAAAATATCTTAATATCTCACATCGCCCAAAAAAAAAAGAATGGGGGGAAAGAACTTTTTCTTTTCTCTTCTCTTGAATCAAATCCTCTTATTATCTTCCCAGCTTCTCCTTAATTTCACTTAATATTTTATTTTTCTTGTCTCAAACTCAGTTTATGCCCTGTTCTTCGCTGTATATACAGAGAGAACTCGTGAGTTTATTAGATTATAAGTGGGATTAAAAGATTACTAGCGAAAATAAAAGATTATTAGGGAATAGAATTACTGGGAATGTTGTATTTTTTGTTAAGTTGATTTAGCAGGAATGTGAGATTATCGTGTTTGGTTAAAAGAATAAAATATTATTAGAATGTATATTTGATCAAATTATCCTTATTATATATTTGTATAATAATATAAATTATAAAATATTTATATATATTTTTAAAAAAAAAATTAAATTCATAATATTTATATAATTTTTTTATAAAATTAAAAATATAAAAAAAAATTTATAAAAAAAAATTAATGAAAGAGTAAAAAAAATTAATCTTTGAACTTCATAAAAAATTTAATCTTTGAATTTTATATAAAATTTTAATTATAAATTTTTTTTGTAAATTTAAAATAATTTAAGGATAAATTTGTAATTTAACCTTCGTAAAATTTTTATTATTCAATGACAGAAAAATGATATTTTTTAGAAAAAAAATAAAAATTTAAGAATATTTTAGTCCAAAACGACGGTAATGTTACTATGTTTAAGGGAATGAAGATAATGACATTCCGATAATATACCAAAATAAATTTAATATTGATAATAAAAATATTACCAGAAATAAGATTTTTGACCAATCAAATATATGAATGTGAAATTTTCATCACATGAGACTCTCATAATCCTGAAAACACCCTTTAAAAAACAGAGAGAGAATGGACTTTTAGAGAGAGAAAGAATAAGAGATTTTGCTTTGTCCTTGCGGACGCCAAATCTGTATTCAAATTGATTGATTTTTTTGGGGTTAAATCAAGTCAAATGGTTTTCTCTCTCTTCACTTGTTTTTGTGGGTTTTTCTCTCTCTTTTGTTATCATGGGAGGATGATAGTAGCATATGCATGCATACATGATTAGATACGATGCATCATCATGAGTCGTGGATGATGGTATTATTTTTGAGTTTTTGTATGAAACGATTATTATTTTTATATAGAATTATATCACATTTATTTCGTGAATATTATATATATAAACTATATTAAATAAAAAAACATATTTTAACGTATTAAACTAAAAAATAATCACAAGTAAAACTTATAAAACTTAAAAGTATATTAATAATTATTATACTTTAAAATATACTTTAAACAATAATTTATGTTTTATTTAAAGCATTTATGAAAATATGAAAAAGTAAAATATTAATACGTTATTATTTATAATACCTAAAAATAAGATAAAACTTTTAGATAAACTAAAGATGAAATTCAAGTGATTAAATTCCATGTTAAAGTTAAGATTATTTTAAATTTGTTGAAGATTATAAACACAATTGCATTAAAATGAAATATGATGATTAAACTATAAAGAGAAGCAGATGGGATAAAATGTGAAATCAGTCATAAAGTAACGATACTTCAAATATGATATTGTACTACTCATATAATATCGATACTCAAATTCATTTTTCTTGAATTTAAAATGTCGAAGTCATGTGAAATATCGATATCTTGCCAATGTATATAATTGGACTGTACCTTATAGATATGGAAAATCTAGACAAGTGGATTAAACATAAAAATGATTGAAAAATCACTTTCCTCATTCTTTTTAAAAATATCACTTTTCTCATTTTTCCCTACTATCTGACTCCTCGTAATTTCTTCTTTAATTTTCACCTGTATTGGATAATCTTTAAGCTTCAAAACTCTATCCTTTGTTTAATTTTACTCTCTTCAAAAATAAAAGTTATATGAGATATGAGAAGAGTATTAGTCTAATCTACAACACCTGAAGTGTGAGATATCTTACTAAAACAGATTTATTTGCATAGTCAAATTGTACTCTGTCAATCGATTTAACGCACCTTATTAACATTATATTATCCAGTGTTTTGAAAATCAGATCGGATCGATCGGTTCATTTTACATCGATTAAACCGCTACTAGTGAACCGGAAGGAACCGTTGAACCGGTTGAAAACCGGTTCTGTTTTTTTTCAAAAAAAATTTAAATCAAACGACGTCGTTTGTTAAACAAGCCGAGTCAAACTAGAAAACTTTAAAAGTAAGCTCAACTCGATTAAAAAACACAATGGCTAAAAATTATCAAGTTCAACTCGAACTTGATATATAATATTGAAACTTGAACTCAAAAAGGCTCGAACTCAAAAAAAAATTAGAAGCTCGATTGAAGCCTGAAATTCAAGCTCGATTGAAGCGAAAGAATATATCGTTTTGTGCTCACCAAAATGCTCAATGATTTTGAATGCAAAATTACATCTATTATTTATAGAAGTCAGTTGGAATGATCTTCTATGTTTCTTAGCTATATGGGATTGTTTTGTTTTCATATTTTTACTCTTTAAACTTTTGTGATGCTCTTCTATGTTTCTTAGCCATGTCAGATTTTAAAAAAAAATTAAACCAAATGACATCGTTTGTTATGATTTTTTTAGCCCCAAATTTATTTTTGATTATAGTTATATAATTATATTTATTATTTAATATGTTTTACCTTAAATATTATATTGTAGTTAATTTAAATCATTTTGTTTCACTTGATTTTATGGTTTTTAACTTATATATGTTATAACTTGCTTTGAATATAACTTGTGATATAAAAAACTATTTTTTGTTAAATATTTTTTATATTTTTATTTAATTTTTTAAATAATTAATTAATTATGACGTCGTCATGTTCTTCCTACCGATTTGACCGGTTCAACCGATTGAACCAATAAACCAATAACACGGCCGATTCGCTGACCGATCCGATTTTAAAAACCATAATATTACCCATTGATAAATGTTAACGGTTGAGTGAACTATCTATTATAAATTGATAATATTAGTAACTAAATTATATTTTTGAGTGTAAGATTAAAAAATAAATTTTTAATGCGTATATTTGGGGTGAAAAAAGAAAGCCTATTTTTCAATTGTTTCATATGTTGAACCGAGTAACCAAGAGACATGCGTGTTTTGATTTGGCTCATTCAAATGAAGACTTTTCCTTTGGAATATGTAATAGATGCTTTTCCTCTTTTTAAACCGGCTTTCGTCGATTTTTCTTGGAAATGTGTATATGTTGACATTGACTTGGTTTCGTACATATAACCCATTCCCTATATCCTTCTCGTCACCATCGGCAATCTCTTCCATCTCTCTGTTTTTCTCTTTCTCTGCAACTCAAAAGCATCATGGATAAAGAGCAAGAAGAGATGCAATTTGTTGGCTTCTTTGGCATCTTCAATGAATCCTACAAAGCCATCTTTGCATGGAGAAAGATGTTCGGCAAAATCACTCTATCTTTAATCCTTCCTTTATCATTCATCTACCTTGTTCACATGGAAGTCTCGAATCTCTTCTTTAGCAAAATCATCCACAACGAGATCGAGCTCCACCATACTCGACCCGGCACTCCCAAATACGAAAAACTCTCCGACCTTATCTCCGATGAGTGGGCTTACTTTTGGCTTTTCAAAGCTGCATACTTCACTCTGTTTTTCATCTTTTCCCTTCTTTCGACCGCTGCCGTCGTTTACACCATCGCGTGCATATACACAGCTCGGGAACTCACCTTCAACAAAGTCATCAGCGTCGTTCCCAAAGTCTGGAAACGGCTGCTGGTTACTTTCTTATGCATTTTCGTCGCCATGTTTTTCTACCACGTCGTGGCGTTTGGCGTCCTGCTCGTTTCCGTCATTTCAATCGGACGAAACGATTTGGGTTTGGCGGTGTTCATTGTTTTAGCCATTTTCTACCTGGCGGGGCTTTTGTATTTAACCGTCATCTGGCACTTGGCTAACGTCATCTCTGTTTTAGAAGAAGCCTACGGTTTCAACGCCATGGTCAAGAGCAAGAACCTGATAAAGGGAAACACATGGGTGGCTGCGCTCATTTTTCTGACAGTAGGAATCGCCGCCGTCGTCATCCAGTTTTCATTTCAGAGGGTGGTGATTCACGGAAGAAGGTCCGGCGTGGGCACAAGGGTTGTGTATGCAATATTTTCTTTGTTTTTACATTCCATGTTGACACTCTTTGGATTAGTTATCCAGACCGTGATATACTTCGTGTGCAAATCTTACCACCATGAAAACATCGATAAATCTGCCTTGTCGGATCACCTGGAAGTTTATCTGGGAGAATATGTTCCTCTGAAGGCCAGGGATGTTCAATTAGAGCAATATCATGTTTGAGTTGAATTAAAATAATGGGTCAATGTTGTAAATTGTAATAGTTTTAATTTTGGTCAGTGGTGTTTTCTGTACCTGATCCACATATGGGATTATAGTATGAAAGTAATATGTAATCAATTTATATTTAATTTCCATTGGACATGGACTTCGTTGAAACCTGGGGTAGTTTATTTGGTAGAGGGAGATTATTTATTTTATTGGATTTCTGGTACAGGGGAATTGTGACCGGAAACACGTTGAAGACGGATGATTGATTCGTTTCCCATACACTCAACGGGTAGGCATTGACATTCTCACATCATAGTTCTATTAAATACACGAGTCTTGTGTTGCCAGATTTGGTGCAATCTGCCATTGTTTTTAGGGTAGTAGGTGTTTTTCAACGTCTTGCTATCGAGAGTTTTTCCCTCTTAACAAGCAAATCCATCCATTTGCACTGATATAAGCCTGATTTGCTTGGCTGAAGCCCACGCCATGTTAAGGTCTTCACATTTCCATATCAAAGAAACTACCAGAGTTTATTTCCAACAACTGATTTCTGTCATAGTTGCTGGGTTTACCACCGTGATTTAAAGCTGGAGATTCTGCTTTCTGGGAACACTTGAAACAAGATGGGTTATTGTACACAGCATGTGGAACTTTATGTTGACCCTCAAGTTATCGCTAAGAAAGGATATAAAGTGGATATTTGGTCTTGAGGGGGTGATTCTTTATGTTTTTCTTGCTGGGTTTTTACCACTTCAAAACGATAACTTAGTGGCAATGTATAGAAAATTTTTCACAAGAGATTTCAAGTGCCCCCCATGATTTTCCCTTGAAGCTCGCAGGTTAATCACTAAGCTTTTAGATCCCAATCCAAGTTCACGAATCGCTGTATCAAAGATCATGGACTCCTCTTGGTTCAGAAAATTTATCCTCGTGCCTGTTAGAACCAAAGGAGAGCTTGAATTTGAAGCTTTCAATGTCAACAAATCATCAAAGCCCGAGACTTTGAACTCCTTTCACTTCATTTCTTTGTCTCGGGAGGAGAAAAGGGAAGTCTTGCAGTTGAGATAAGATTCACTACGACGAGGCCGGCAAGAAGCATGATATCAAGACTCAAATAGGTGGCCAAGTCGGTGAGGTTGAACGTGAAGAAAAGCAAGCGACTATAATAACGTGTCACATCAACCGTCTGTCACTCACAATAATTGTGATTAACGTCGAGGGATAAATTTATTATAATTTGATAGCGTTAGTGATCAACTTATTAGTTTTGAAATTTCAGTGGGGAAAACGAAAACTTAGTAAAAAATTAGTGACCTTGTGCAGTTTACCCTTTTACTTTTTAATTATAGTAATATTTTAAAATTTTATATTTATTTAATAATTTAATTATATCTCACATAGAGAGATGTCAAACAATGACTTCAAGAGTTGTTTTCTTTTATATCATTGACCTCAAGTATTGTTGTGGTTGTGAGCAATAAACTTGGATATTTGTTTCCGGAAAACATAAAGTGCAGTTGCTTCATATTTAGTTTGGTGTAGAATTAACATTTCCAGATCAGATGAAGATGTTGCTTGTTTCGACCGATTTGGCTGTTACTCAAGGAGAACTAGGAAACTGACGAAGCATTTATAAAAGAAGAAACTGCCTCAAAACATAGTATTAGGAAAATGATCTAATCATCTGCACAACCCTATGATTTTACAACAACAGAATTTTCTCTTCACGTGTCAAAAGAATTCATACATCCCGCGCCCAACCATACCAGCAAATCAAACACTAGCAGTTTCCGAGATTACGTGATGGTACGACAAGCTGTCGCCTACAAGTTCTGCTGCTTAATCTTGCTTCGGATATCAAAAAGTATTTGGTGTATGCCAACATGTAAATTTTCAAAAGAATTGAATTCATACTCTGTTGTGCTCCTATATATGCTAGTGTATGACAAGATGAATTTCATACTATGCAACCCTGATGAATCACCATTTTATGGAGATTATCAACAAGCTGCTGAGAAAGATCGTTTAGTCCTTGGCTAGCACTCCATAATCATTGTAGGAGTCCAATACAGTTTTCATACTCGAAGTCCATTCCATAAACGGTGGCCGAATCCAATAGCAGATCATCAGAATTCTGAAATGCTAGGGGAGAGTCAGTCATTGGTGGTCCAAAAGGAATGCAGCACCCTGGGCAGACAAACAATGGTGGCACAGCCTCGGAATCCTCTATGCCACAACAGCGTGTGTGCTGCCACACCTCACAAATATCACATGCTACCATCCTCTCCCCATCATCATCCCGAGCCCCACACTCACATCTGACTATCCAATTACCGGAACCACCTTCATGCCTCAGATTACTGTCCAAATCTATTCCACTCCCTCCAACCAGAATTTCTTCCCCTGATTCAAGTGCTCCAAACAGCACGTCTCTATCCTCCATTTCGCCCAGGTTGTCAATCTCTGTCACCACAAACTTATCCATAATGCAATATGTATCCCTTAATGCTTTTTCAGCAGCTTGCTTTAGGTCATGAACTGTAGCATGTAACTGAACAATGACAAGTTCACCAGTACGTGAGGTCTCGGTAGACATGTTCTCCACTTCAAACAATCTGGGTTTGACTCGGCAAAAGAATCTCAACAACTGGTCATCTTCATCTCTAAATGGCTGGTCCTTCACAAAGTGTTTGCTATCTAGAACTGCCTGAGTGGCAAGTTCCAGCAAGTCTGATTCTGGATAGTTCAGTAGTGTGTTATTATACAAATACACCACATCATTATAAACATCAGTTCCAGGGACAGGAGCAGGCAAAACATCTGGTAGAGGTTTCTGATATATCTCCTCCTTTGCTTCTGACACCTTAACCGGATTGTCTATGTCGTGAATTGTATATTCTAAAACCCGAGCTGAATTAATTCCACGGCGCACAATGTGACATCCAACAATGACATTGTTCATTGATTTCAAAACATAATCCAGCAGACCTGTATCACCAATATGTATACGAGCTGCATCTCTTAAATCTTGCCTAGTCATCCCACCATGACCGACTTCAGATTTATGTTCCTTCAAAGCATCTACAATCACCTCTGCTGCAAATTCTAGCCTTTTTGCTGGCCATCTGCTATCCATATGAGCTATGACATTGGTAAATCTCTTACATCTCATATACTTTTCCTTCGAATTGTCCTTCTTATGGAATGATATTCTGATGGATTTTTTCTGTACAGAAGCTGAAGGAGCAGTAGTAGCTGCTACCAATTTCTTCTGCAGTGCGCTATGAGATTTGACAGTGAGCATAAATTTGAAAAGATCCCGAATTGTAACCAACTGGCTCTCACTTAGATCTCTATAATGCTGAACCGTACACTTGATTTGTCTGCTCTGCTCCCTATCACTGAAATCTTGAATGATTTTGTCAAGTTTCTGGGAGCTGAGAATTTCGATTGCTTTATCATAATTTTCCTCTAAAACACCATAGCTTCCACGGCCGAACTTGTAACCCCATCTACCAAACCATGTATGTCCATATGCAACTCCATGAAGCAAACGTAGATCCATACCGTGCTTCTTTGATGCATCCTCCACTGAGATTTTCCTAAAACAAATATGAAACGATGGTCATGAAGGCATTCTTAAATGTGAACTGGGCTAACTTGAATTTTCAGTTATGGAATTCTACCGTGCTCTAAGAATTTCGCAAATACGATCCCACAAATCCATGATTTCTCTGCCATAGAGATACTTAGAACCACCTTCGACTCCATTGATGCAAAGGAGATGGCCAAATCCATTACAGTGAATCAACCCATGTAAGAGATGGGAGTGGATGTTTAATACATTATCCTCTAAAGGCTTGTTCCAGTCTCGGTCATTTGGTATTACCACATGATACTTCCTTTTGGAAACTAAATGGTTGCTCCAACCTAAAAAGGCAACAAGGAAAACAAAATGTGAATTTGGGCAAAATATTTAGCAACTAGAATTCTGTAACAACAACTTTATCTAGGAGCAAAGCTTTCTTAACTATATGACAGTATATGGCTAATTCCTACTTGTAGTATGTCATTCTGGAATTCATTAACATGCTAAAGTTGCAGAATAGGGAGGAGGGGGATGAGAATGACTTTAGCTTCAAACAAAGATACAATAGTTTAATCAAACTGAAGACTCAAATTCGTTACACTATCCGTATTAATACTACCACTTATGGACGGGAAATTTTTGCAGACAATAGGAACTTCCATAAACAAAACTCAGAATGCAGCAGGTGCAGGCTTATTGGCATAAGATGGTATGATTTGAAAACTATATTTCTCAGAATAACTACACTTAAATGATAAAAAAAAAGTAAGGAATCAAGAGACTGTCATTCTATTGATCTTTAAAACCTAGAAAGATGTCATTTTTATTTGATCTAGTAGTTCCATTCTACTCTTGGTTAAAAATTCATGTTTGCTATGAATTTCCAGCTTCTTTAGATAAACGAAATTGCAAACTATAGAAATGAAAGATAAACAAGAAACCCAAAATCCAGAAAAAGAACACAAAACCCGACTCTGGGAGAAGAAAAAGAAAGGGGCAAACCTGTACATCTGCAGTGATCACAAAAAGGGTTTAGAGAGTGGTTAACACTCTCTTCAATGGTGTAAAGAGGAACGACGCTGGTTTTGTCACGAACGAGAAGGGTGCACCAAATGGGCATCCCTTTTACGCAGTAATCTTCAGGCTCGGCACATTGTTGAAGGAAACAACGAATGTTATCTCGGAAGGGACCGGTGGGGTTTATGGGGCAACCAGGTTCTCCAAATGAATGCAACCCAAATAGCTTTGGCCTTCTCTTTCTCTTCCTGCACGTCTCTAGGATTGGGATTGACATTGTTGAAGTAATGCCTTTTGGGTTCTTTGGTTTCTTCTTCTTGTTCGGAGCATGGGAAAAGCTGAAGAAATTTTACTTCTTTTATGGAGTTCGTCAGTAACTGACTCAAGTTTGCAGTCAGTTCGTTAAGCATGGGGACTTTCCGCGCTCAAATTTTGAGTCGACTTTGTTAAGAAAACCAGTGAAAAGAGGCCCATTTGTCTTCTAATATTGGACTATAGTTCAACAAGGTCTATCAAAAATCCAAAACCAAATAAAAAAATATTTTTTTTCACATGCAAGTATCCATGAACCAAGTGGTCAGTGGTGAAAGGATTTGTTATTTGTTTTTATCCTTTGAAATCTTAAGTTTAAGCACCGCGTATGTTAGGGGTATGAAACTTCATTGTCCAAAGTTTTGAGATTTTTCTTGCCCAAAGACATGAATCATTTCCAAGATTTATATTTGATTTGAATCTTTTATTTTCTCTCTTTGATATCTATAAAATAATTTATTTTTTAGTTTTTTGTCGTTGCAAACTCCATTTTTCTTTAGAAATTTTGCAATATAAACCATGTGTTTTTAAAAGCAATGACAGGCACACTATGTAGAAATAGAGAGGTAAGAAGAGTAGGGTCTAATACCAGTTTAGGAAGTGATTTTCTCCAGAGTATAGGGTAGTGGATGAAGAGTGGCCAAATGTGCCTAGGGTTGTATGAGATAAAATAGTTTCTTTTTCTACACATTTGGAGGGCAAGTTTTCATATCTTTTTATTTCAGCATTTTAATGCAATATGGTGTTAATCCTAATCAATTCATGCATGGGGTTTAGGGTATGTTGATTACTTTTTTGAGCGTTTGTTGCCCTTAATAACTACACCCCCTATTCTAAATGTTTTGTCCAATATAATAATTATGAAATTAAAGTCTAAAGAAGAATATTGATACTATTTTCATTCAAATACTAGGATGAAGTTTCTTTATGTTAAAGAAGTGGCTGAAAATAAAAGGTATAAGATAAAAAAAACATCTTTAATGTTGAATTAATAGTTATTTTATACCTTATTCTTTTTAGGAGTATTTTGGCCCTCAAAATTTTATTTTGGGATAAAAAGACCCTCTGGAGAACATTTTGTTTACATACCAACACTTGCCTACCTACCTGTTTTCCTATTGTCCTTGAGTTGATATCTTAGTGGAGTATAAGAATTCAACTGATTATGTTGTTCAGCAGCCCATTCCCCAAACCTTACAGCACCATGCTTCGTGCATGCATAAAGATTCTGGTCAACATTGCCACAGTTGGCTCAAATGGCATACTCTTAACAAATTTCTCGAGCTCCTCCATGCACCCACACCTGCTATAGAGTTCAATCATGCACTCATAGTGTTCCATCCGGGGTATAAGGAAATATTCATCACTCATTGAATTAAAATAAAGCCTACCCAACTCTGCTTCATGCTCACATATGCATGCAAGCAGAATGCCATGAAAGGTTACATGGTCTGGTTTGACACCCTCCTCCATCAATCCAATAAGTTCAAGTACCTCTCTACCCCTTCCGTTGTGACAAAGTCCGAAAATCATGATGTTCCAAAGAGCCACGTCACGTGAATCTGCCTCTTTGAAAATCACAAAAGCATATAAAACGAAACGACATTTAGAGTACATGCTAACCAATGCTCCTCTTATCACTGTATTCAGCTCATAAAAATTTCTAACCATGAACCCGTGGATTTGTTTGCCATGATTAAGGGCAAATATATTTCCACAAGCTGTAAGAAGGGTTCCAAGGATATATATGCTGGGTATCGACTCCCATTGCATCTCACTAAATAATGAAATAGCCTGCTCACCCCGCTGATGCCGTGCATAGCTAGTTAGTAAAGCATTCCAAGAAACAGTATCCCGTCCCTCACTCATTTGATAAAACCAAACTCTGGCACTTTTCAAGGTTCCACATTTTCCGTACATATTGAGAAGTGCATTGCTTACAAAAATATTGGTGGAAAACCCATGACGGTAGATGAATCCATGAACCTGTTTCCCCAGCTCAACATCTGAAAGGCCAGCACAGACATCTAAAATTAAAACAAGCGTCACATGATCAATTTCTTTAGTTATTCTCTTCATAAGAAAAATAAATTCTAAGGCATCATCCCAATGAGACAATCGAGTATACCCTGCTAGCATTGCATTCCATGAGATAAGATTCCGTTCGGGCATCATATTAAAGAGTTCTCTTGCCTCTCTACTTCTCCCACTCACGGCATAACCCGACATAATCGCAGTCCAGGAAATCAAATCCTTGGAAACAAGTTGATCAAATACTGCACGAGCACTTTCTAGATGCCCACATCTCACATACACATCAATAAGTGAACTAGAGACCACTTTATCCTTCTCATAGTTAATCTTAGTCACAACAGCATGAATTTGCATCCCTTCCTTAAGTGCTGACATGGTTGAACAAGCAACAAGAGCATTTGAGAATGTAAAACTCAAAGGTTTAACATCTCCTCGGATCATCTTAAAAAACATTAATACTGCCTCCTTTCCATCCCCAATCTCAAGATATCGTCTAACAATCACATTCCAGGAAACAGCAGTCGGAGTCTCAATCTCGTCAAACATCCGCCTTGCATTTCTCATAACCCCACATTTCCCATAAATGTCAACGAGTGAAGTCCCCAAAATTACATTTTTTGAATGACCATATTTCATGGCCAACGCGTGAACTTGGCTTGAAAGTCCAAACTCTAAGAGAATACCACAAGAGCCCAATACACTAACGACTGAAAACACATTTGGCACGATTCCTTCTCTAATCATCTCCGAAAACAAGCACAAAGCACTTTCATGAAATCCATTTCTTGCATATGCTGTTATCATCGAATTCCAGGAACCACCATTCCGTTCAGGCATTTCATCAAACAGTCCCCTTGCATCATCCAAACACCCACATTCCCCATACGCTTCGATGGCACGGTTCAGTAGGAAAACTGGGGGACACGGAGAGAACGTGAGTAGGTGGCATTCAAGTTTCCGGGCATCGACGATATCTTTTTTGGAGGAACAGAGGGAAAAAAGATGGGCGTAAAGAGAGTAAGGTAAGGGTTCTGGGGAAGCAAAGAGAACCGAAACAGCTTGTCGGAAACGGCCTGAGTTAAGGTGGTTGAGGATAGATTTGGTTATGGAACTGAGGTTTTGGGGTTTATGGTTTATGTTTTGAAGAAGACGCTTCAGTATTGAGGATGCACTCACAGCCATGCAAAAAACAGAGCAAGAGTCTGGGATTTAACTATTTAAATGCTATGGTTTTAATATGCTGTTGATTATTGTAGTTAGGGTGCTTATCGAGTGGGTCGACGGTGAGTTTGGCAGTATTTAACTTGTGTTTGTTAAATTTTTTTATTGTTTATCTTAATTCGTTGCTCGTTAAAATGTTGTTTGACTCGTGCTTATTTAAAAATTTTACTTCTCGACTCTATTAATTGCTCATTGCTCGTTAAGCTTGTCGTTCTTTACTCATTAATTTCATCATAATTTTTATATTATTTTTTAACTATAGATAAAATCTACTAATATTATATAGAACTTAACAAAGTGTGATAATAATTTCCTTTCCTTAACCAACATAATTATAATATTAATAAAACAGTTATAATATCTTATAATCATGGGCGGGCCCTTCGTGAGAGTCAAGAGAAGTCTTGGCTCTTACTAATTTTTTAAAGTATTAATTAATATTAAAAATATATATCTTTAAAAAATAAATAAAGAAAAATTTACTAAGTCCCCTCAATTAAAATTTTTTGTATTTTTAGAAATTTAAAAAATACTTTGAACCCTATTTTAATAAATTCCTAATTCTACCTCGGCCTATAATAAATAACTAAGATAGATATTACTTCGTCACAAATAATAAAGAACTACTATGCTTAATTATTAGTACTTACTTTGGTCTTTCTCTTCACTCCATAGAGAGATCGACATCAATCTCTATTATAAATCAACATATGTATGATATCCGAAGATAGTGAAGCTCTATAAGATTATGATTTACATACAATTTTGATCTGGATTAAAGATAATGGTTTGGCTATGAAGTTTCTTTCAAGAACAATTGCAGAACTTAGGAAGCTAAATTAGAATTAAACAAATAATTGAAGAGAGGGGTTTGCGAGGAAGGTGCGGCAAGCAAAAGGGAGGGGGAGGAGGGGGGTTTTTAATTTTTTTTAAATATAGTAATTAATTTTAAAGTTTTTAAATAAAATATTTAAAACTATTAAAATAAGACACGTGTTACTTAACATGATTTGTCAACGGTCATTATGATCGAACACTTAAAATGATAAAGTTTGTAACATTAGACACTTGGATTGATCGAAAAATAATTTAAAAATTTAAATGAAAAAATGATATAATTTAAGAATTTATTTTTATATTTAAGCCTTGAATTAACGAGGCTATTGTATAAGAAAATAATTGATACAGCATTGTCGCACCATATCACATTATTAATAAATAAAATAAGAAGAATTAGAGGTCAATAATCCATAGAGCAAATGATTAAAAACTCTTAATTGACACTTCTCTAGTAATTTTAAAAAGTTATGTTAGAAGCAATGTTTACTATGAATACGGACTTTGTAATAAGTTCAAAGCGGCCCGTAGGTATTCTCATACGAATACTGCATATATTCCTATAGTCCTCGTACATGTACAGTTGCATAAGACATATTCCTTCCATCCCAATAAATTTGTCCCTGTATTGTCTTATTAAAAAAATCAACAAATAACATTTATATTTTCTTTTTGCCCTAATATATCTCATTCTTTCAAACTTATCAAAATAAATCTATCAAATCAATTAATCATTGTTTGGAATAATTTTGTCATTTCTTTCATTTTATATAACTTGATACGTGATTAATTTTTTCTCCTAAAACTATGTGCATAATCAATATGCGACAAAAATAATAGAACAGAGGGGCAGCATATGAGTGGTATAAAATGAGTAATGTTCGGATAAACCAGTAAGACTGATCATTTAAGATTCGAGTGTGCCTTCCATGAATGCCACAAAACTGAAGAAAAGTAGTGTCTGTACAAAGTATGCTGTTCATACCTCCAGTAGTCTTTCATAAGGGACCATGCAACATTATCAAACTGATCCAACACTTTACAGCATACTGGAATTTAAGAAAACCAATAACCAAGCTTTGCAAGCCACACCAATGAATGAAATTAAAAATGGTTTCTGCCTTTCCAATCCCCATGCCCCTTCTGTTTCTTCTTTTAGGTTCCTCCTGCAAAATATAGAAATAAAAATGTATCTTTTAGAGGATAGATGGATAACATGAAGCAAATACTACTAACAATGGATTGATGAAAGCACCATTGGGACATGTTATACAAATTGACAAGAGGGTTAGCACCCAACTTGCATTGCCGCAAAAAGAGTAGTTTTGATTGAAAAGAAGTCATCTCAGTTGAAAGTTCACGGTTTCTACAAAACGGCTCCTTATAGATGTTTAAATCTGTTCAGAACTTAGCATAGCTTGCAACAAATGTTCAAGTCACTTCTCATATCTAGGAAAGGGCATGGACAAGGACAAGTATACGAAAATGGAAAACTATCATATTATTTCCTTTTCACTTTTTTCAGTATTTTATCTTTTTCTTCTTCCTTTTACCTTCTCTATTCTTCTTTTCTCTTTTCATACTCTTTTTTCCTTGACACACCACAGCCTGCAGCCAGACAGGCTAGGAGCTGGTAATAAATGGTGCCAATTTGGCCAGATCTCATGCCACCCAGTGCCAATCTGGATCAGAGAGCCTGGATCAACACTGGCTAACCTCCCCTAAGGCCTTGGCGGTTGAACATTAGTGATTCCAGTATCTGAGGAGGAGAAAACAGAGAAAGGAAAAAGAGGGAAAGAAAAATGGAAATAAAAAAAATTGCTCTCCATCTCAACATTTTTCTTTTTCTGACACCATTTTGCCAAATAATTGTATTTGTTAGTGACATTTTATGGTTCGTAAGGCATATTCCATCAAATAGTCCTTTTGTTTTTATCTTGAGCCAAATTAAAGTAGAGCAATGTCATTGAATATTGGCTGGCAGATTTGGTATTTATCCCTAACAATTAATTAACAGATGACTTCCAAACCAATAATAAGACTAAAAGAAATAGAAAAAATAATAAAGCAGGAAATTTGAAGTACAAAAACCAACAAACCCTACGCCGATGCCATAAAGCCCATTACAAGCCTTCTAGAGCTGCGGTTCAGAAGGATTAAATAATGTTCAATAATAGCAATGATAATAAGCAATAAGGCTTTACCGTAATTGCAAATTAAATAACAAAGCATGCATCAATTCTTGGCCCAAGAAGAATGTATATAATCAATTTTGCAAGTCATTAGATGTTAACACAGGGATCATTAATTTTTTTTTTAAAAAAAACACAAGGATCACTAATAAAGTCATCATTATAAAATTCTAAAACTTCTTGGAACCAAACTTAAGCACATCTACCTATCGCTATCCTTCTTCAAATTCATCGACTAAGACTTCAAGGGATCAAAAACCACAAAACAACCTTCAATCTATAGATTAAATTAGGATACATCTTCAGTTAAACTTTCAATTGCACCAAAAACCTTAAATCAAGCATCTCAACTCTCATTCCAATAGTTCCACATGTACTTCGTCAAGTAAAGGCTTCCAAGAAAGCAACACGTAATGGTTCATATATTATTAGTTCTCAACCAAAGCTATCACAAGTTAGAAGCAAGAATGAAAACCATGACGTGAGAATATTCCCATCACCTCACTTCCTTGCAAAGAAATCCACAATAAGAAACCTTTCCAAGCATCTATCAAGTATATGCATTTTTACTCTTCACTTCATGTCCTATAGTTTAAGAATTTACAACAAATAAATTCAGAACAGCTTGCAGATGTCCTTCAACCCCAATGATTACACGACACAGCAGTATGACAATTTTAACTATGAAGGTCAGACAAATGTCACTTTTAAAAAATCCAGTAGTTGTTACTAAGTTTGCGGAGATGCAATCAATAAAGTTGGCAGATGCGGAATAATCCACCAACCAACAAATGCTCTAATTAGGTCTGTAATCGTATGTTTTATCCTTTTTAAGAAAAAATGTTGTGTATAATTCAATGCAAAGGTGTTTGATGCTAAGGAAAACCGGTGAATCCCATTACAATTAACTTAAAAAGTCTAAACTCCTGCATCAAACGTAGATCTTTGGTGAATCCACCATTACTTCAATTGTTAATTTGGGTGAGAAACCATTCATGCTAAGAAGTATCGAATTAGAAGATAGCAGAAAAGAAAAGAAAACTAGAATTTTGCAGTCAGATAATCGTTGATAAACAACTCTTCAAAGTCAGATCCATACGCTAGCGCTTCCTAATGCTTTAAATATGTAATAATTAGCAAATTGGGTATTAGCCAATAATCATTTTCATTGGTGAATAACACACTCGTCTAGCTTTATGATATTACAAAAAGTAACTGAAAGGCGTCTAGGTATCTCTAAATTGGTTTCTTTTACACAGTTCCGTGCAAAATGAAAGCCATCAATAATCAGCTTTCAACCATATCTCCGGTGTGAGTCTCAGAACTAACAAATCAGCAGTAGGATCATGCACAATTTGCCATGGATGGGGGATCCTCCCAATCAAATCCCGATTTCCCACCAGTTCCTATCCCCTATACCCCCTATGGTGTTTTTTGTTAATATAATTTGCAGCCCCAATCCAAATAAGGGTCCATCTGCTTAACATAACAATCTGTGGGAACCTAACACTTATGAGGAGCAGGACAATTTGAAGATCTGATAATTCAGTTAAAAAATGCTTGAAAAGTACATATAGTTAGAAACAAGAGTTTGAAAAGGATTATATGGCAAGAAATAAACAAAATTCTCTTCAACATACCGTTCCACAAACAAAATAAAATTAGAATGCCAAAAGCCCAAATAGTATTTCTTCATATTACGAATGAAATCAATCAAAGTAATCCACCAAACAAGGATAAATAAAGAGTTAAGAAGTAGTATATATATATATATATATATATATATTAAATTGTTGCCTTATATAAACATAAGAGAGAAAAAGAAGATAAGGGAAAGAAGTATGATTTGGGGGGGATTGAGAAGGAAACTAACCAGAGATGTGGGTTTGATTGGAAAAACAAGAGAAGAAATGAGATTAGCCAACATGAAAGGGACCAATATCATCACTTCTGAGAGAGGCGGCGACTTCATCAGCAATTGTCAAGCAAGAACAAACCCATCCACTTAAAGCTATCCACACCATTTTTGCCATCTCTAGAGCCACGCCCAATGGCATTGCCATTTCTTTTCTTTCTTTGAAATCAACAAGTAACAATGGTGCTGGTTATGGGTTTTGTGTATCAATCAATCAAAATCCTTCCCAGTAAAAGAAATCCAGGAGATTAAGAATCAAGTAGAGGTGAAGGTTAAAAGCAAGACTATCCTCTCCTTACATTCATTTTCCCCCTGATTAATTACCCCGCGGTCAATATATGTGGTTCCTTATAACCTTATGTTTTTATCGGCTTAAATCTTTAAGAAATGTTAAAAGTTAAAAATTTTGACGTTTATGAATGAATTAGTCGTTTTCATAATAGATATGTGAAATTTAATATGAAATAATCGATTAATAAAATTAATAAGTGCTCAAATATATATTTTGTTCATTTTAGGCATTTAAATTATTTTTTGCTTATAATATTAACGTTTTCGATGTAACTTTTTTAAGTGTTTAAGTCGTTATAGTCGTTAAAAAATTTATTATTTAATACGTGTCGCGTTTATAAATTTTAAAAATTGTATTTAAATTGAAAAACTTAAAATTATTATTATTTAAAGAAAAATCATTTTTTCTAAAATATCATACAACTCCCAAAATTTTAAAAATATAAATTTCAAATCTTTATTATCAGCCATCACTCACAGTCACTTTTGTTGTCGTTGTCACCGTCATCGAACAACTATCCACCCATCATTGATAGCCATCACTATCATCGCCGTTCGCCAAATCCCCAAACCAATGGGTTTATGATTTCATGGCAAAATCCCAAAACCATTAAAATGAATTTGGGGAGAAAATAGAGAAACATGGAAGGAGATACACACCAGCAGCGCACTTGCACCAAAAGCCATCTGATAGAGGAACAGCCACCTTGGCCAATGGGTGGGAAATTTTAGTAAAAAGAAGAAATGTAGCAAAATATGCTGCTCAACTGGGCCAATCATTGAGTTCATCAACCGAAACTCGTTGCTAAAGATGAAATCAACCGTATTCCAAGTTGTTACGAATGGACATAAATCTGTCTTTTCTGATGGAATTGGAAAAATGTGAGTTGAACTTGCTAAAGATGGTAGCTGTGTTTTCATTCTATAGAAATTTCACCATGCATAACGATTTACTGACCTGAAATTGAATCCAATTCGAAGTGATCTTGATGGTGATATCTACTTTCTTTGTTGGGATACTGATTTGATTCCGCCTAGACAAATTGTGGTGGCGACCGGCTATAGGTGGATGATTGTTCGGCGGTGGCAGCAGCAGAGGTGGCGAGCGGCAATGGCTGGTACTTGCTTTGGGACTTATCGCCAGTGGAATTGCTGCAGCATTGACTCGCAGCCACTGCTACAAACCAAAATGATGCATTTGTTCACACTCGGTCCCTCTGCATTTTGCAAAATTTCCCCAACGTATGCTTATGAATAATTTACCGCTGTAAAGTTTTAGCATCTGTTTAACTTTTGCATGAATTCCTCCCATGCTTGGTTTTTACTTGTAGAACAGAGAATTTCATTAATACAGTATGTAAAAAATAACCATTTAAATGATGAAAAAGTAGGTTTAATGAACTCATCAACGATTCTTAAACTGATCGGTAGATCATATAATTTGAATGGAATGAAAATATGTTAATACGGAACCCATTTCCATCCATATTTAATCAAGGTTGAAACATAAAGAAATAGTCACCCCAGGCATTCCAGCAATTAACCTTTTCTTTTCAAGAAAGCTGCTTGATGGAGGAAAAACGAACGAAAGATAAACATAATTTATAGACTTCAAAGTACATAAGAGTAGATGAGCAACTGGATCAGTTTTCATACAACATCAAACATTAGTCACCCCAGGCATCCCCATGGCATGATTTGAGAAAACACAAAGAACGGGAAAATAAATTCTACAATCACCCGCTGCCTGCATTTGTTTTAATCACCAGACACATCGGAAAGTAACATGGGACTCGGTGATTTCACCACCATAAGTAACTTTCACCACCTGACCCTTTTCAAAACCATAATATCTAGCAATGGCATCTTTCTTTAACAGCCGAGGGAGCTGCCATCAAATATAATTATAATTCGAATCAGATACCAACAACCTCAACCAAAAACAAAATATGCATATATAGACAGACTATATTAAAGATGCAGCTACTACCCTGAAATTTGGTAGAGGTTATATCATCACATATAAAGACATATGCACATACTTTATCGCTGTTCGATCTGAATTCTGATGTTCACATTAATATTAACATTCAATCAAAGCTCACCAACAGCAAGCATTGTAATTTGTTGATACAATGCTGACCGATAGTCTTGAACTCTTAGTTCCAATGACCAGATTTCAAACCTGGCAATCCAAATTATATATAAATAGCAAAGCTCTTGAGCTTTGAAGACTAACCTGCTTCTCTTCTATACTGTACTTCTGCAACAGCCTTTGTTTCTCATGTTCGGTTAGTACCTGGTGCTTAGGCTTTAGCACATGCTTTGTGATATTAACAAGTAAGTCAGTAATCTGAGGAGCAAGAAAGACAAGAGCGGTATTAGGGGTATAGAATGGTTTGAATAAGTTACATATGAGGGGAGGAAGAAAAGGAGATGGCATACTAAATGCACACTTTCTAAACTAAACCATAATGGATGTAAAGAACTAATTTCTTAACAGACTATGTCATGCATAGTCTTTTAAAAATTTAGAAAAAATTATCTGAGATTTAGCAAGGAACACATACTACAGTAAGACGGAATGATGATGAGAAATGTTAACCAATTCCATAGACTAATGAAAGTTACTAGAAATCAATCGGACTAGTTAACTAAATATAAAAATTTCTTTCCTCTCAATAAAACAAGGTAAGGCATTTCAAATGATTACACCAATCGTTCTAAAGATGAATTATCTATATCTATGTTAATGTTTTATTCAATTTAGTGGAGTAACAGCTGGAAGGTAAGAAACTTAAACTTATAGGGATAGAATAAACATCAACAAAATTCCTTAACTTGATACAACTGACAGAAGAAATAGGTCAGTTAAACATTGCAAGCTGTAGTTGATACATTTTTTAAGCTTCTATATTAAATGACTTATCACCCATGAATAGTATTAGCAGTGCATAATTACATATTAATTTTGGTTACTACAAAACATATGAAAAGATAGCCAACCAAATTTTCGTGTTATACAAAAATGCATGTCCCTTGCAGCCAATTGCCATTTCTAGCGATGAAATCTAGAGAGAGGTGTGTCAACTATTTTATCAGCATATAGGATGTCCAGAAACTAAAAGAAAATGTTTAAATCATGTCAAAATATTCAAAATTGAATTACTCAATTCAGAACAAAAGTAAACCAAACCGAGCACCCTAATTAGCATTTTCATCATTCAATATGCTGCTAATCTTAACTGCTAAAGTCCATGATTTCCAGCACAAAAAGACTAAAGAGATCATTTTAAGCGTGTTTTCTCTGCTTTTATTATATTAAACTAGAGTTATGAAAAAAACAATAGCAAATAATTTGAGAAAAAAATCATCGCACAGGGATGCAACTGCATGAAGCATGGATTGGCCATGAGACATGTGCAATATGGAGTGGACAACGGCATAGCAAATTTTAAGACATGAAAGATCTAGAGGTCAAAGCTTTTGGTTATGAAAAATATTTTCCTGCGTGAAATTGAATTTAGAGGACCAACGTCAATGGAAATAACACAGACATGACTGGTAGTACAATTTTTACCTGGAATATCTCCACCTTAAATGAGAAAAGGTCTAGAGCTTTCAAAGCTTGATTTGTCATGTGATTTTGCACGATTAATATCAACCCAGTCAAACTTTCTTTGTTAGTAATTAGACCAGCAATGAGCCGAATCCCACTAACTTTAACCATACCAGGCCCATAGAAAACAACTAGCATCTGCCAGGAAAAGTGTCATTCATCATATTGCAGATCACATTGATTAAAGAATAAAGAATCACCTTTCAATGCAAAAGCCACAGCAATTAGAACAGAAAAATTAGTATTTAGTACATAAATTACAAACGAACTTGCATATGATACAGAAATGGGACATGAGACCATAACAGTCAATTTCTGGAGAACTTGAATACAAGATTGAAAGTTGGAAATTGTTTTGAAATATATACGAACATATTTAATAAACAATGCTTTTATATATTTGGATCTAGCTTCTAAATCAACATTTAACCTTTCTTCACCTTTTTGAGGTACATCTTTCTTGGAATAGTAGTGTATTCTTTGGTAAAGATATCCAATGATTTCATGAAAAAGGTGAGATACAAAACTTTTCTCTATTGGTAGGTTGGCACCAAAAATTTTGAAGAATCAGCTTTATTCGCCAATTCATTCAGGAGTACAAAAACTTCTTTATATAGAGCATCAAAGTGACGGTGAAGAAATTCTATCATCATACCTAAGCTAAGGTTTCTTAAATGATCTCTCCACAAGCAAAGCAAATAAAGCACCAGAAACTAACTTTCAAAACTCTTCCCTGATTAGAATGGTTTAACAACTATAAAAGGAGGATAAGACAACTTGTAATCAAATTAAGAAAAATTCAAATCATTATCGGCTTAACTAACATTCAAAACGCTTCCCTAATTACCAAGAGTTGTTTATTGGTTGCACGAACAACCATAATAGAAGAACCAGAAACTAGGGTGTAATCTTAAAATTGCAGAAGGAAACAGAACCAAAGTTTGACAGACTGAGAAAACACCCCAAATGAACCATATGGACTTCTATTTATAGCCTCACTAACGAAAGAGGAAGAGTGAAGTTATCACGATGTCATCCATGTTTGTGGCATCAATCATAGGTAGTGAGAAAAGGATGGAGGTCAATAAATGTATTTGTATGAAATGGAAAGTATTAGCAAATGTAATTGTATGAAACGGAAACCACGTGGAGCACAAACTAAGAAGTGTTTTTATCACAAACATATAAAGGTTAAATGACAGTACACTTGAGAATGCATTTTCTGTTCAACAGAAATGGGAATCATATGTGTTCTATGAAAAGGTTACGAAGATTTTTAATAATTTCCATATCTGAATCTTAAAGTCATACTCCTCAATACATCCTAAGACCATACTGTAGTAAAATCAAGAATCCTTCCATGCTTCTAAAATTAAAACCAGAGTTCTCAAGTAGTTATAGATCTTGTTAGCTACACCGCAGCTCATCTTTATCAGATGCTACAATAGATGCTACAGAGTGAGGGGCATGGAGCATTAGATAAGCAAAATGCCGGAGGAGCAGAGCAATTGAAGAATGTATTGCTAGTGCTAGGATTAGTCGCGGCCCAAAGTGGCTCCCGGTCTTAGACCAAACAAAAATGTGCTGGGAAGCACTGTCACCACGAAATTACTTATAGAGAACCAAGTTGCCAGTGTCACCACTAGAGAAGTGTTTGCAAGAAACATTGTTGTTAAGTAAGCCTACCTGCTATCTAATCAAAATGTGATTGCTTAACATGTTAATTTCTAAAAACAAAAATTTAGATAAGGACCAACTCAAAAGCATTGTTCTGTTTTTTTCTTCAGAAAACGAATATGATAGGGTTGAAAATGATATCATCAGAACTCAAACTTTTAGTGAGAAAAAGTATATTAAACAATTTAAAGGAACATGCAACGAGTTGATACTGATCCAATCATGCCATGTAGACACGTATAAAAAACCAGCGACCAAAACATAAAGCAGAAAGGGAAAATGATTACCCGCTTGGAAGGATCGGTTTTATGAGTAACAGAGAGCCTGAGAGAATCAAAATCAGGGCTTTGGCCATGAATGTTGCGAAATTCTTGAAGAGAGAGATCGATTTCAGAGTTGGGTACGGCATAGCCTCTGTCCCTGAGCATCTCCAGCACGGTTCTCCGGGAAAGGTAGTACCGATGACTCTCGGTGCTACCATCATCCACCAACCCACTCAAGCACTTCCCTAGGGCTTCCCCATTTGACCCATCGCCTTCCAATCCATTTCCTTTCATTTTTGGCCTTTACTCCAGTCACTATACGAGTTCAGCACAACTTAACTGCGCCCTCGATTGTGACAAGGGACTACTTTTTGTAGAGGTGATTACTGTCTGGGATGTCTTGGTTTGGGCTTCTGGTTTAAATTCTCTTCTTCCAAGGCCCCAAACCCATTAACTGCTAGTTGAAAAAAAAGCTTAAACTCTCCTATTGGTCACTGAATTATAGTACTAATTTGATTTAATTTAAAAACAAGTGTTCAAATTATATTTTAAGTTAATTTTAGGTGTCTAAATAATTTTTTGTTTAAAATATGTGTCTAACATTTTTTTCATTATAGTTTTAAGTGTCTACGCAATAATGATTGTTAAATGACACGTGTCACGTTTACATTTTTTTTAAATTTTTATTTTTTAAAATTAACTTAAAATTATCATTATTTTTTTAAACAAACTCCATTTCAAAAATATCAAAAAGACCTCTAAAGTTCCTAAATTTAAATCATCCAATTCCTTTATCGATCGTCATTTTCTGTTGTCGCCGTCGCCGACCACTTATACTATTATTTCTTGAATGTAACTAATTTCTCATCGACATGGAAATGGAGACATTCATTGATAAGAAAAAAAATCAAAACTTTCAAACTAAACTGTTAAAAATTTAAAATCATTGTTCTTGATTAGCATTCCTATGTTTCTCTTTGGATTTTGCATCGGCTTTTCATCGATCTTTGGATTTTGCATCGGCTTTTCATCGAAGCATGATTACTTTATCATGATATTAGGAGTATTGTGAGTTACTCCGGGTAAGATAATCCTAGATGACTTAAGAATAAAGTGAGATATACTTATGAGATTTTACTATGATAAAAGAAAATATTATTTTTTCTAAAAGTTTTAAATTCAAATAAATGCGTCTGCAGGGTGTGTGTTATCAATTGATTAAAAAATTCTAAACAAGTACTACCTTTTAATCACCTAAATTACCCGAAGAAATTAACTATCAATATTGTTTATAGTTTTGTTTAGGAACAACGTATATTGAAATTAACTATTAAAAAAGTTTATTGAAATTAACTATTAAAAAGTATATTGAAATTAAAGAGGCATTTTTCAGTCAAGGTAACGAGAAATCTCTGGGTCCAGATGGTTTTTCCCAATTCTTTTCTAAAAAGACCTGGCCTATTATTGAAAGATACATTATTGCTGCAATTTCCCAATTCTTTCAAGATTCATTTCTTCTTCCTGCATTCAATGCTACTGTCATTGCATTGATACCAAAGATTCCTAACCCAAGTAAGGTAAAGGAATTCATACCAATCTCTTGCTGTTATGTAATCTACAAAGCCATTTCAAAGATTCTAGTAAGAAGATTAAATTGTATTATGCCTGAGTTAGTAACTCTTAACCAAACGACTTTTGTGAAAGGAAGAAGCATCATAGAAAACACACTCCTTGCACAGGAATTGGTTAGAGGTTACAACAGGAAAAATCTGTCTCCCGGATTCTCTTTGAAGATTGACCTTCATAAAGCTTTTGATTCACTCAATTGGAGTTTCATTTCAGCAATCTTGAAGGCAATCAGTCTCCCAAGGATCTTCATCACTTGGATCGAAACTTGTTTCTCTACAGCAAGCTACTATGTCTCCATTAATGGGAGTTTGTATGGGTACTTTAAGGGAGCTAAAGGCCTTAGACAAGGGGATCCCCTTTCTCCCCTTCTATTTGTCATCTCCATGATTGTCCTCTCTTTTCTCCTTAATTTAGTTACTTCAAAGGTTATCTTCGGCTTTCACCCAAAGTGTAAAAGAATAAACTTGACTCATTTATCTTTTGCATATGATCTATTTATATTTTGTAAGGGATCAACTAATTTAGTCATCGGTGTTACTAGTGTTCTGGAAAATTTTTATAAGATGTCAGGTCTTCAACTTAATGCCTCCAAAAGTGAATTCTTTGCTACATGAATGTCCTGGGGAACTATTGAGAGTATTAAGCAGTCTACTGGCTTCAAACTTGGCTCTTTACCAATGAGATATCTAGGTATTCCACTGCTTTCAAGAAAAATCTCAGAAAAAGATTGTGCAACCCTCATTGATAACATTAAATTGAGATTTCATTGGTCCAGTAAACTGCTCAGCTATGCAGGAGGGCTGGAGCTAATCCGAACTGTTCTATCTTCTATTTCCAACTTCCGGTACAGGCAACTCTTCCTGCCTTACTCTATCTTAAAAAAATCGAACAGCTATGTTCCCGCTTCTTCTAGAAAGGATAAGATAAATCAGCTTCAGAAGCATGTGTGAGCTAGAACAACATCTGCTCCTTAAAGTCAAAAGGAGGCCTCGGAATCAAAGATATGAAGACATGGAATAAGGCTTGCATGTTCACCTTAATCAAACAAATCCTTGTTGGTGAAGGCTCCTTATGGGTAGCATGGCTCCAAAAATACGTTTTAAAGGACAAAGACTTCTGGTCAGTGGAAGTAAAATCCACCACAAGCTGGCGCTTTAGAAGACTCCTGAAACTGAGACCAGATGTGCGTAACCTCCTTTCTACGGGTGCAAATTCAGCAAGTTCCATATGTGATTCAATTCGGGGAAAAAAGCAGAAGGTTCCATGGCAAAAACTTGTTTGGCATCCCCTGCACATACCAAAGCATAGTCTGATAACTTGGATGGCCTTGCTCGATAAGCTTCCAACTAAGGAACGACTCCAACGAATTGGTATTACCAATGAGAGTTCGTGCGTCTTTTGCAGCTCTGACATGGAAACAAGAGATCATCTTTTCCTACTTTGTCCAACTGTTGTTTTGTTGTGGGAGCAAATCTTTTCATTTTCTGGTTTATCTTTTACTGCTTGTTCTTGGGAAGATTGTTTGGCTTTGGCATGCACTAATTGGAAAGATAAATCAATGCTTTCCATTGTTATGAAACTTGCTTTTAATGCTCTGGTATATCTGCTATGGGAAGAAAGGTGTAAACAACTGTTCCAAGGTCGTTCAAGGAATGCTGCTGATCTGTTTAAGACCATCAAAGAAATTGTATGTATTCAACTAAAGGATAGGAATTTTAATAGAGTAGATAATGTAAATTTTACTCTCTACAATCAATGGGGTATTGATGATCACTGATTTTTATATGTAAGTAATTATTTGGTATATGAACCCTAATTATATTTTGTATCATTTTGCTATTTGGATAATAAAATTTTGAATTATCCAAAAAAAAAAGTACATTGAAATTAATAGACAATTTCATTTAGGAGAAGTTGGATAGTGGTCTAATTTGTACTTTGTTTATCACAATCAAAGACCAGTTGACAAATCATTTTAAGAAATTATTAGTAAACTAGGAATATAGATATCCACCCACCAACTTCAGGGTGAGTGTCAGGTTCTTATGTTAGTTAAGAAGCCTAGAGTCATTACAAGTCTTTTAAGATAACGGAGTATGTGTGTTATACTTCATCTTTTCAACGAGTTTTATTAAGAGGTAATTATTAAATGTATTTAAGTAGAGTAATATACCATAGTCTCCGTAATAAGATTGAAGTCATACTCATTTGTTCTCAATAATACGATTGAATTTCAACTTTCGTACTCTTTTGTTCTCTCGATTTCTAACAGTAGCCATGTCATGCTCATGGTGATAATATCTAATAAACATATATCTCATCAAGCTATAGTTTTTGTTGCGGAAGACGTCTATCGGATAGAACAAAATCGCAACTGATAATTTGAGAAAATAAAAATGAAGATAAAAGAGACACAAAATTTACGTGGAAAACCCCTAAAAATTTAGGGTAAAAACCACGGGCAACGGTAGAAGAATTTCACTATGAGAAATAGGAATTACAACCTCTCTCGATCTACCAAGGAGAAAACAATGATAATTCTCTCTAGATAAACAAGAGAAAACAACTCTCAAGAAACTCTCTAAAATCTCTCTAGTATTGGAAGAAAGCTATAATGCTTTGGGATGATTTTGAAGCTAAATGAGCTAGGGTATTTATAGTTGAAACTTAAGGACTAATCTTATAAATACCCTAAATTACAATGACTAAAATTAATTATCCCATTACCCAATTTCAACAAAAATTAGGTGCCTAATTTTTGACTTTGACAAAGCACCATTTGGTGCCTAATTTGGTGCCTAAATTATTTGACTTTTAACAATCTCTCACTTGAAGATTTGATTGGAATAATCATATATTCACACCATTCTTTCTACCTTGTACCTTCATGTTGCTTACGTTTCTGACAGGCCACAGGAAGATCGACACCAGGTAAATTTATCAGCATTGATTGCCTTCGTCATGAAATCTGCTATGTTGTATTTGGTATGGATCTTTTGCATATATACCGTTATTTCTTCCACCTTTTCACGAATGAAATGGTACTGAACTTGTATGTGCTTTGTCCTTGAATGAAATGCTGGATTCCTTGCTAGATGCAAGGCGCTTTGAATGTCACAAAACAGAGAGACATACTCTTGATTGTGCCCAAGCTCCTCCAATAGCATCTTCAACCAAATTACTTCTTTACTGGCTTGTGTAGCTGCTACATATTCTGCCTCTGTTGTGGACGTAGCCACAACTGACTGCAATTTTGAAACTCAGCTTACAGCTCCACCAACAATTTTGAACACATATCCTGTAGTAAATTTGCTTTTATCCAAATCCCCCGCATAGTCAGAATCTACATAACCATTGATTAGTAAGTTTGATCCTCTGTAACATAATGCAATATTTGAGGTCCCTTTGATGTATCTGAGGATCCTCTTTACAATATTCCAATGCTCTTTGCCTGGATTCGCCATGTACCGACTAACCACTCCCACTGCTTGTGCAATGTCTGGTCTTGTGCATATCATAGCAAACATTAAACTTCCTACTGCTGATGCATGCGGTACTCGAGACATCTTCATCCTCTCTTCTTCACTGCTAGGACTCATACTGGAGGATAATTTGAAGTTAATAGGAAGAGGGGTAGAAATTGGCTTACAATCTTGCATATTAAATCGTGACAAGATTTTCTTCAAGT